TTTCTGGACCCTCTCAAGTTTTTCCATGTCCTTATTGAAATGGGGATCACTAGCTGATTATTTCTTCAGCCACCATTTTTGGTGAAAAGCTGTGAACTTAAACTACCTAAGCAGATTAGCATTCAAAAGAAAGATTCTGGCATAAAAATCATCTAGTGTAATATAAGCCATTTTAAAGAGAGAGAGCTGTTAGAGAAGAGACAACTTGCTAACACTGTCTCAATTCTGAAAAGAGTCACATTTGGTTCAGCAATGGCTGTTGCCTGTGACATGTGTGCCTCCTACCTATTAAGGCCAAGTTTTAACAGTGCAGAATCAAGCCCTCATCCAAAGATGCTGCCTGCCCGAGGCTCAGGTGAGAGCTGTTGCTGCTGGGCTGGAGCCACTGTATGCCTTGGGCCAGAGCCAGAACTGCTGTGTAGGGTAAGCGGTGGGAAGCAGGCAGGGGCAGGCACTGAAGGAAAAAAGTAGCAGGGGGGCAGGCAGCAGGGGCACAGGTACTAGGCAAGGGCAAGCAGCGTGGGGGGCACAAAAGACAGAGGGAGCAAGGGGTGAGGGTCAGACCACTTGCTATCCTGCCACTCCCCCTTCTCCCTCACACCCGTGCTTGCCTTCCTGCAGCTGCTTTGTCTGTCCTAGTGGGCCAGGGTGGGCGAAAGAGGGGACCGGGACAAATTTTAATAATTTTCCATTTACAGAATCTAAGTACTGGCAGCTCACCGTAAATTCAATGTCAACTATGATCTGGGATGGTGTTCTGCATAAGTTGCAGATTTAATTTTCAAAATAGCTCCCAGTAAATAAATTATTCCAATTATAATTTATTTGAATTGATTAAGGTAATCTTTTTCTAAGGAAAAAAGTTAAACCTTGATGCAAAAATTTCTACGATCTCCTATTGCATTCATATTAAAATTATGCTACAATGTGCTGATATGGTTTATGTAAAGTTGACAAGTTTTTTTATGCTTTAAATCACACAGATGACTTGATACCTGGCAGATCTAAACTATAAGCACTACAGAATCTGTAACAGAGCATGCAACAGGTGTGTGCCATTAAATTCAATATCTAAAGTGACCATAAGCTAACTGCACTACTTCTTAAAGTTTCCATCTTAGATCCCAGAAGTACAAACCTACCTCAGGAAGTTACTTTGATATTTAATGACGATGCTTCCCTCTGCTCTCAAACTCTTATGAAATCTAAGTTATTAAATCAATACTTCTCCCAATATTTTTCAATGAACAACTGGCCCCAGTGTTTTCAGTTATGCCAGTTTTGAAGCCTGCCTTTTAATACCTAAAATGTAGTGATTTGAAAAATAATATTCTGGAAGAGCTATTAAGTATGCCATAACACACTTTATCACTAAGTGTGTGATGTAGACTTGCCTTGTATGATATATGCTTTAACATTTCTACACAGTCTATCAAGACCACACATCAGACACCCTAATTAGGACTTTGGAGAATTCTATATCCTTAAATGCCACTTTCTCCAGTAACAGCAAAATCATTTTGTTCCAGGTCACAGTGCATGTTGTATAGTGCTTGTTAACTCTTCATCCTATTTTTTGTGTTCCCTTCTTCCCCGCGCCCTCAGCATAAACCTAGATGTTGGACATCAGTTTCATGTGTATGTTCTCACCTGTATAAGGACAGATGATTTTTACCATTGACCTAACACGTAAAGTCAAAACTCACCTGATAATTTGATCTGTACTTCGGAAAACAATTAAAAAATGAAAATTACAGAAAATGTATTCTAGAACAACTGGATGCTGTAGCCAGCATATACCTGCATGGCAGATATTCAAGAAATACTTCTGTAATTTTAAACCACTGGTTAGAAATTCATTTCTAAACTGGCACTTGGAGTCAGTAAATCAAATGATGTTTTCAACACACTGGGATTTTTTTTATAACAACTTACAGAAGCAAAACATTATCAAGTAAACAGTATGGTCTATACACTAGATTCTTGAAAGCACTACGTGCTTTATCAATTAATAAAACTTCTGTTTTATTGCAATGTTAGAGAAAAGGCAATGCATTTTCAGTTTACCTTTGGTTTCACCCTTGCGGCAGAGCATTAAAATTTTCGTCCGAAACTGCTTCGCTGATTTTGGAGGTTTAGCTATGTTGTCTGTGTCGTCATACCAAGGCTATAAAACAAAGTAATTTGTTTAATAAAAATTCAACAATAGCTATTTCCATTTTTAAAAATGAGACATGTTAAAAATTATTTCAGATAAAAGGTACACAAAAAGTTTGCATGTAAAGTTAAACACAAAGTACCATAGGACTATTAAATAATACCTTTTGACCATTTCTCTGAAACATATCAGTCAGTAAGCTCAATGTTCTCTCACGAGGAACAACAGTTTCTTCCTTCAGTTTAGTCCAAACTTCACCAGCTTTTTGGAAATCGTTATTCTTCTCTGAAAAAGAAGAGATTCACATTTTCGCATCTACTGCAAATTATTTTAAGAATTAACTATTACATGTATTGAATTGCTTGATTTATTTTACAATTAAAAGCGAGCAAAAAATGTGCTATTTCAAGCTGCTTAGACATTTTTAAGGCTATATCAGCCAAATATGAGGATCATAAGCAAAACATGTTTGTAAAGATCCAAGACGACTCAATTTTTCAAAATGGAATTATGCCCAAGAATTTGATACAGAACTCAATCCTCCCCATTTGTTCTTGTTACCAGAATGGAAGTGGGAACAAAAGACTGAGGAAGAGCTCTGGAGTTCCTGGAGCTTCACTCTTCTCCTGATTCTCTCTTCAGCTCCGAAGCTGAATCCAGACAGCAAATTCCAAGACACCAATTCAAGAATGACAGATGGTACTGTGGGGCCATAAGTCTCCTGTTCATTCTGTGTCCAGTACATGGCCAGACCAGCCTTTGCCAGACTTGTTACAACATGAAAGAAATCTGGCAACTGGTCACAAGTGTAAGTGTGTGTGCATATGGACGTAGGAGGTCAAACATAGATGACCAATTTGATTTATATTGGCTAGTATCAATGCAGAGACATATCTAAGAGGAGACAATTTCACTAATCTGGAATCATCCAACAAACTGCAAAATTCTATCCATCTTTCTCAGCCTGTGATAGCATAAACAATTATTTTCTGTACTTAACAAAAAGCCACAGCTAAGTAAACAGCTAGATGATGTGATTCATGAATGCAAAAATCTCTTATCCAAGTATAAATAGACATGGATGCCCATTTCCTTGGTGAACCCACCATCACAGCTACTTATTTATAAGGACTTCTGGTATGGTGAAAAGATTAAATGGCTAGTACTTTGCACTGATACTAGCATAGTTCTATTGTGTTCCCTAGATTTTGTGGTGTATGGGGTTGGCAACAGGAAGCGGCTCACGACTCTCAGCCTACAGGTCTTGAGCCTAAATGGAAGAGATTTTGAGAAAATTATACTGGCGCATATCTGTGAGGGGCCAGCGGGGGAGGTTATGCTTAGGGGCAACCA